GTATTTTTGTATTCTTTGAATCATTGCCAAGGGGTAGAATTGCTTGATCATATGGAAGATCTGGAGTCTTAAGGGTTCTAATTCTATTCATGACCTAATCACCTCCTAAAGACCCCACCTCCTGATACCATTACCTTGGGGAGTAGGTTTCAATATGAATTTGGAAGTGATACAAATATTCATTTTATAGCAGGGACATTTTTACTCACTTTTCCATTTTTCCCTTGAAGTCTACCTCATGCTTTCTTTCTTTCTGTTTTCCCATAGTTTCCCTGAACTCTTGTAAATCCTCTTGTGTTTTTGTTTACAGTGTCAGTTATTCATTATTAATTTATGACAATATGTTCAACAAGATTTCAATCTGTTGCATGTAACATTTCTTTTGTGGGTGTTCTTCATCTGTCGTTCATTTTTTCTTTCTTTTAACAGCATCTTTGTAAAAGCTCTTTTGTTGTTCAGTGAGTTTTTTGTTGTTTTATTTTGAACTAGCTATTTACACAGGCCAAGAGAACGAGCCATGTCCCATAGTTATAGGAATTCTTGTGACCTGCAGGTGTGTGTGCATGCGTGTGCGTGTGCATATGCATGTGTGTGTGTGTGTATCAGCCTTCATTATTCTCTTGCTTGCTGAGAATGGTAGTATTCTCAATGTAGTCTCAGTAGACTGCTTCTTGTTTGTCATTTTTCTCCACTGCTGGTGCTGCTTGATCTCCTACCTCACTTTGTCTGGGACTAACTTGCACATCTGTTCCCTGGTCTCAGGATGGTGTTGCTGGGTTTGTGGCAAGGATGTTCTGCTTTTTGGGGGAGCATGGTGCTCCAGGCCTGGATGGCCTGCCAACCATTCCCCTGCTCTGCTGACCTTCCTTGCCATTTGGGGACGTGCTCACAGGTCTTGTGGTTCTGTGGCCTGGAGCTACAGATGTCCTCTTTTTCCTCACAGGCAGGGTTTGCATTCGAGTGTGCTCCTTATCTTGCTTGGGTGAACTCCAAGAGGAAGTCTTTAAGCAGGATATTATGACAAGACAACTCCAGTTTTTAAATCTTTCTCTGCTAGTCAAGCATTTTATTACTTTTTTGATGGTAGTTATTATTTCCTTTTAAGAAAGTTTCAAGTACAGCGAAGTCTTCACTTAATGGCACTGATTGGTTCTTGGAAGTTTACAAGTTCAAGTGCAATGATATGTAAGGAAAGCAGGTCCTGGAATCCTATTTCAGTCAAAGTTGGCTGGGATTGTTTTTTTTTTTTTTTTTTTAAATAAACATTATAATGAAACAAGGTTGAATAAAGCAATGTTATTTGAGGACTTACTTTAGATGTAAAGAATAAAGGCGTTTCAGTGTTCTCCTTTAGGTTGGTAATGAGTGATGGTGGTAATGATGGATCCCAAGAGAAGTCACTGCCATTACTTAGACTCTTCTTTTAAGAAATCAGAAGTCAGAGGACGGCATGGAGGGAAATTAGGATACAGCATGATTGATGTTTATAAACAGGAGACTTTAGGTTTCTTAAACTTGTTTAACAGAGGCCGTGTTTGTATAGCCAGGCTCACCAAGTGCTACATTAAGCATCCGTTCCATTGCACGTACCCACTTGCCACTTGCCAGTGCTTCTCAGCTATTCCCTTGACATTCCTGGGATGCCCAGCTCAAAACTCTAGGCTGGATTTGTTTGAAATAAACAGTGCTTTCCACGTACAGGAACGGTCCGCATGCCAGCATGGGGAAAAAAGTGTGACCTACTTTGTAAAATGTCAGTATCCAGAAGTAGAAATAATACAAGCATGAGGTCATTAAAAGACTATAGGAAAGGGGAGTTAGGTACCAACTAGCTATTATTCACTAACTCAACTTTGATTTTTTTAAAAAAGATTTATTTATGCATACAAGAGCTGGGGTACAGGCCAGAGGTGCAGGGGGTGAGAGGACTCACCAGAGACAGAGTGGGGAGCAGAACAGGCAAATTTACTGAAATACACTGCTGAGGGGAGCAAGCAGTGGGCAAGACAGGAGAGGTCTGCCGTGCCATATGGGGTGCTCCGTGGCCAGCGGGGATCGAACTGGCACTGCAGAGGCTGCGGACAGCTTCACAGCGCTGCGTTCCTCTGCCTGTGCCATCAGGGAGGCCCCAGTTTTTATTTTTTATTTATTTTTTTAAAAGATTTATTATTTTTTTAAATTTATTTATACAAGCACTGGGTACAGTCAGAAGCGCGGGAGGGTGAGAAAATTCACCAGAGCCAGAGCGGGGAGCAGAACAGGCAGAAGGACCAAAGTACACTGCTGAGGGGAGCAGCGGGGGGCAGGAGAGGTCTGCGCGCCATGTGGGACCCTCCTCTGGTGGCCGGGGAGTAGCCGGGGATCGAACTGGCGCTGCAGAGGCTGCGGGCAGCTTCGCAACCCAGCGCTCAACCGCTGCGCCACCGGGGAGGCCCCCAGTTTAGATTTTTTAAATGCCAGGGTGCTGCAGTTAATAAATTTAGGTTATCTATTCTGTGCAAGAAATTATCCAAAATTTACTGGCTTAAACAGTAATAATGGTAATGGGCGTACTACGGTGATAATACCTGATGGGGATACCCCAATGTTACCTGTTAAAAATAAATGACTTTTTAAAAAACAAAACAAAAATGCCGAGGGGCTAACAGTTATACTACACCCTTCTGGGGGATCTTGGGCTGGGGGAAAAACAGGTTCTATTTTGGGCATGAGTGGCCCCCGCTTTTGCTTAGGCCAATGCAAAAATGCCTTTGTAGGGAGCCTTTGGGATGGATGGCATGACAGAATAGGCCCCTTGCTCCCTGCCCTCAGCTCCCTGGGTGGGGGTCAGAGTCACAGCCAGAGCCACACCTCCTTGACTCTGAGGCCCAGAGATAGAGCAGACCAGGCATTGACAGGCCAGGGCCTGGCCATTCCAGCGGCGAGCAGGGAAGGGGAGGCTGTCTGGGTGGGTGCTCCCAGGGCCCGGAGGATGAACACCAAAGTAGGAAAAGATCCCGAGGAGAGGAGGGGAATGGGGAAGGCATAGAGGACTGATGTCATAGTTTTCTCTAGAGGTTGCATTTATTTTTAGGCATGAGACAGTGAAGTGAAAATGTCCGTGGAAGTCATTTGGCCTTCTCTCTGAAGATGATTTTAAATGCAGCTGATTCCATCCTTAATGTCTACCCCCTACATTCGACTCACTGAGCAAATACTGATTGACGTGCTCCCGCACTGGTGTAGCACTGGCCGTGCTAGGCATCCCAGGTGGACAAGGCCTAGCCCTGTCTCTCAAGACTGTGAAGAGACTTCATCAAGGTATAGATCACACAGCCAAATAGATTGGAATTAGATTTTTTTAAAAAAGCCCATTTGGGGTGGAAATGAGCAACGTGCTTACTTACACCATTGTGAAGTCACAGAGGGGAGCTGTAAAAAGTAAGGGCAGGTCTTAGCAAGACCAGTCCCTCCCGGGCTTTGTCACAGAGCCCAGTCAACAGGGTCTCATGGAACGAATCATCCTAACACTCTTTGGTGGAAAGTTGGTGGGCAAATGAGTTTGAGAGAAGCCAGTAGTAAGTGGGGCTTCTTAGGCGGGAGAGGGGCCTTTTCCTGAACCATCAGAGGAGGCATCTCTTCAGGCACAGGACTTTGAGTCAGGGACCAGGTTGCTGGAAGTTTCTATGTGCTGGCTGGAGGGCCTGCCCTGTCAGGGTGAGGATGTTACAGGAAGGGAGGGGTTTCCATGTGGAATTTAGTGGGGAACTCTGGGAACCTGACCAGGGCCAGGATGAGACTAAGTTGAACAAGAAGAACCTCCACAGTAAGGTGGTTTTCAGGAGTGTGAGTAGGACACAGCGCTGTGATCCGCACCTCGCACCTCGTACCCTGTGACCCCTCAGTGCCCCTCCTGGGCCTCTGACCCACTAAGTCCTGCCTGGTGGCCCTTCCCTAGCCGCCCCTTCTTCTTTGCCTCTCTTATGGTTCACTTGGGCTGCTGGAGCCAAGTACCATCGATGGGTGTCTTATTCCTCAGTTTTGGAGGCTGGAGTCCGAGACCAAGGTGGTGGAGGGCTGGTTTCTTCCGAGGCCTCTCTCCTTGGCTTGCAGATTCCACCTTCTCCCTGTGCCACGAGTGGGGTCTTTCTCCATGTGTACCCCCATGTGTCTGTGTGTCTTACGTTTCCTCTTACAAGGACACAACTCCCTGGATCGAGGTCCAGCTTCAGCGGTCTCATTTCAAGACCTGATTTTCAAATACAGTCGCCTTCTGAGATACTGGGGGTTAGGACCTCAACATATGAATTTGGGGAAGGCCCAAATCAGGGATGCTGATAACAGCCCTCATGCCTGGCACTTCTTTTGTTTGTTTAGTTGCACGTCTCCCTCTTTGGTTCATGCTCTTACTGTCCCGGAGAGTAAGATGGACTCTGAACCTCAGCACAAACCTGCTCCCCTCCCCGCACAGGCTTTTATAACTCTGAACAGCCCTAACAGTCACACTCAACCTTCCCCGATTCTACTTCCTCCGTTCGGCACTGATTTAAAACTTTCTGACCTTGTGCACTTTTATCTGCTTTCTCAGTAGCTAACCATTTACAGTATTCGGCTGATTTTCCCATAATAGTGGGTTTTATAGCATCAACTTTTTATTTCCATTACCAGTGTCCCAAGTGACTGCCTCAAGCACCAGTTATGCACTAGCTCTGTAATGGGGCGCCCCCCACATCCCACCTCGTTTTCCAGTCCGTGGTATACATCACCGTCACACACTCTGCTTTTTTGTTGTGTCACTGCTTTTGTCCCAGCGGCTCCGCAGGATAAAGACCGTGTTGCTCCCCCAGGTAGCCAAGGTCCTTGATAGTCCGGTGGTAATTTTCCAGTTCCGTCTTGAACTCTGGGGCGTGACATCTCTTTCTTCTGGCTGCGGGCCACCTTTTCCCGGTCCTGTACCTCGCCGTGCTTTTGGCGTTTGCTGGTATGTCTTCTGCACAAGAAGTTTACCTTTTTTCAAGTATTCCCTGATGTTTGAGTCTGAGTGAGTTCATTTCTTCCCTTCTTCGTGATGGGAGCCACCCCCTCACCCCTGATCTTTAAAAACCACTTCATCTCCCTGATACATCTTTCCTTGGTGCCTTTGGACCCTCGGCGTACGGCCTGGAGTCTGAATGTGCGGCTGGCTGGTCCAGTATCCAGTAGGCATCGTCCAACTCCGTGGTGCCATGCTTTGTGCCTTGGTAGAGACTGAGGTCCAAAGGCTGCTGTGGACTTGGCTCTTTCAGTCAGGTGGTCGTGATGTTCCCGGGTGGTCAGGACAGGAGGTTGGCGTCACGGTGTAACAGGGCAGCGATCGAGGTCAGTACCACGATACTAGGTTTGGAGAAAAGAAAGAAGCCTTATTGCAAATTGATTGGCAAGTTTGCCTCCTAGAAAACTCAAATCTGTCTCCCTGGCTAAGAAAAAGAATGAGCTTATTTAGGTTTTGGAAAGCAGAATTGAGAATAAAGGAGTTGGTCAAAGGGTAGTTATGCAGGGGGGAGTATTTTTCAGTCAGCTGGAGTTTGGATTCCTGGTGATGGGCCCCTCACCTCTGGGGAGCACCCCCTCCTCGGCATTTGTATTTCCAGCTCCAGCTGGTGTTGGAATTCAGCTCAAGGTTAGTCACTCGCTTGCTCAGGCTGTGTTTTTGTAAATTAGGTTCAGGCTCTGCTGTCTGTGAAAGCAAGCCTCCGAGAAGGCTAGATAAGCTTATTTTCTTTTGTGCTCTCCTGTCGGAAGTAATATTACCATTTAGCCTCGGTTACAAGAGCACCCCAACACCCACCCCTGTCCATCTCACCAGGACCAAAGGCCATAAGGGGCTGAGGGTGTGTGTGGGGTAAATGCACCCAGGACAGATGACGGAGGGAAGGAGGGTGGCATTGGGTCTCTGGAGCCCCCCACCTAGACGGATTCGTAACCTTTTCTTCGCCGTAGACCTCTTCACTTTTGAGTTCTGTATCTTCTCATAATAGTGGTTTTAACCCAGAAAATAAAATACTCAAAATACAAAAAAAAAAAAGAAGTTTCCAGGCAGAGAAGGAGTGCAAAGTGGTGAGCCTGAGAGCCTCAGTGAACACGACGGGGGCCGCTGGAGGAGAATGGGTAGAGAGAGGGGTGTGGTCAGAGCCAAGGGTAGACTTTTCCGAGAGGAAAAATGGTGGTTTTGTTTTTAGGAAAATAGCTTTGTTGATGCTGAAATATAGAGAACGGCTTCTTGGGAAAAGGGGAGCCCTGGGGAGGGGGGCTGTGTGTAGAAAGCATGCATTAGGAGGTTATTGTCATAGAAACAAGCCGAAGAAATCCCGAGAAAAGGCCCTGCCTGATGCTGCCGCTGTGCATACGTGTCTGTTTAGTTTTCTTGACAGATTATAACTTGGGAGCTGCAGTGTGTGTTTTACCTGTTTATCTTTATAGCATCTACGGTGTGTTACTGTGTCCATAAGAGGTAATTAATGGATGCTAATAATACAGCCCCGGTTCTGTTTATCATCTTCCCACCAGATGCGAGATGTGTGAAAAGTTGTGCCTTAGTTATTGTAGACACAGAATAATAGGTTGAGCATGGCAGAAGTAAGAGCTGACTATAAAAGTAGAAAAGAATACAATTGGTTTAAAAGATGCTAACGAATAAATATAAATGTCCGCATGGATAGAGGTGCCTAGTCAGTGAATGAACCAACCTCCTCGTGCGCGATTGCCATGCTGGGAATGGATGGCAGATGCCACTTAGGTGGCTGAAGTAAGTCTCTTCTGACGTGTTTTTCTTTCTCATTGCTTCCTGCAGATATTATATAACCTGCTTTCATCATGGGAGAAATAGAGCAGAAGCCAACTCCGGGAGCAAGACTGGGGGCCCCGGAAAATTCGGGGATCAGTACCTTGGAACATGGACAGAAGCCGCCCCCAACACCTTCAGGGAAACTCATGTCCATCAAAATCCAGATGCTGGATGACACCCAGGAGGCTTTTGAAGTTCCAGTAAGTTGGGGGAATAGCTGTGAGCTCATAGGCGTGGGCGGCTTTGGGCTGGGGCGATACATCTGGGTCATGACATGAGGTGGGGGGCTGGGTAGTCAGTGCCGCCTGCCCCACCCGCAATGCGCTGCTCTGCCCTTCTGTTCTGAGCTCTCAGATTGTTGATTCCTGCTGGGATAGTCTGTCTGGTGATATCAGGGTCATGTCACTTGAATTTTATTATGACTTTCCATGTCCAAATATATTTGTGTACACATGCGCATACGTCTGTCTTTTATACACCTACATGTATTTATATATAAGTGTGTATCGATGTCTTTTATATACCTATATATGTTTATATGTATATAAATGTTCGCATTCAAGGGAATTGTGGTCTTCGGGATGATCTCAGTTTAATTTGCTTATCAAAGGCAGCTCCTTGTGTGTGTATGTGTATGTGTGTGCGCACGTGTGTGCACGCACACGCCACTTCTCTAGGTTATGGGCAAGAAAACCTGAGATGACCGTCGTGTTTTCGTCTGGGGAGGAGTGGACACCTTGTTCACTGTGGGAAGCGAGGGGTGTGCGGCCTGGAATTGAAGACACCGCCGTCCCAGGGGCGGGGAAGTGAAAAGGGGGCTGAAAGAACAGCAGCCCCAGCTGCTTCCGTCCCTGGGAGCCCCTAGTCTTGGCGCTCTTCAGCGTCCCTGCCTGTCCACCTGGGTCCTCCCTCTCCCCCACCCCTTCCTGCTGGAGGGTAGGGAACCTCCCCTGGAGGGTCATGCGTGTTGGGCTTTCCAGGGCCCTGACGGCTCCTGCTGCTGCGCGGTGGCCTTTATACACAGCGATGGGCCCCTGCCCTCGCGGCCCACGCTGCATTGTGTTTTCTGCCTTCTATCTTGGGCCCTAAGAGCCACGTTTAATGTTATCCATGGGGGGAGAAAATAACTCTTAAATTCTGAAGAGCCAACTTCCAAAACCTTGGGAACACAACCTGTTGTTAAAGTGGAGACCAGCCATCTGTTACTCCCGTTGGCCTGAGCCACTGAAACTTAATAGTCAGCATTAATGCCTGTACCCCATCATTTAATCATTTATATGATATGATTCACTAAATTATATTCATTTCAAAGAATATTGTTCAGAGAGTGCGAATTACCATTAAGTGTCTCAGGGAACGATAAACCTCAGCAGAGCTATGTTTAAAACCGGCAATTTTATTGCACATTGCAGGTAACCTTTGTGTCTTTCTAATTGTATTCGTGTGGAATTCTTATCTTTCAAGGACTTGGGAATGTCTTCCTATTCTGGTGAACAAAGTCATTGCTAATCCACTGAAATTATAAAACTAAAATTGAGTGCACCTGCCAGCTTTCAGAATGAGACATTCTGGAACATAGGTCCTGCTCTCTCCTCCGCCCACCTTCCACTTTTTTCTTTGTTGCCAGACTGGTTTGGTGAGGTATTTAATTTCAGTGTTTCCTCTTCGGTGCTGGTAAGGACTTCAGAGCCCAGGTCTCCAGCAACACATTGTATTAGATGGTGTTTCTTGTATGTGGTTTGGACTAGGAGCTAAGGCTGTTGTGCGTATGGATTACAGGCAGCATTGCCCTGCATTCAGTTGCACTTCTTCTGTTTCCCTAAGCCAAAGAATACCCGACTCTGCTCGCACTTTAGCTTGGAACTCACTGCCTAAGAAACAGTAGTAGAGATGTGTTTCCACCTTTGAGAGTTACTTGATCATTGCTGATTTCTGTGCTTTGCATTTGTAACCCTTTTGTCTGGAAGGAACCTTTTTCAACCTCCCTTTGATAAACTCCTATGTACCCTTAAAGGCCCTATCAATTTTACCCAGATGCTAACTTCCTGAGGCCCTGAATGGAATCCTTTTCTTCCTTCCTCAAACCTCTTTGGTATCTAGCAAGGTTGAACGGGGCTGCCTGGGTCCAAATCCCAGCCTCTACTGACTCATCGGTCACCTTGGACAAGGTGCTTAAGTTCTCCCTAGCTGAGTTTTCTCTCCTGTAAAATGAGGCTAAAATAATAAACCCTACCTCCTACTATTATGACAATCAAAGCAATACAAGAAAGTGCTTGGAACAGCCATCTTGGCACCTACAAATTGCTTAAACAAGTCTGATTAGCAGCATAGATATGCATTTGTGGCCACAGGCCAGAGACCTGGCCCCCGTGGGCTCATCCGCTCATCTGGCATGAAGTAGGTGCACATGGAGTGTTTGCTGACTGAGTATTAGAATGAGTTTATCTTACAAGTCAATGTCTGTCATTGCTAGTTTTTCACCTACCATCCTTTCCTATTTTTCTTTTTGTGGTTTGTTCAGAATATTCCTTTTCAACCAGTGGGCCACAGATGTTTTCCATTACTGCCTGTAGTAAGGCAGATAACAGCGTTTTTATTGATGGAGCCGATTCTAAATTGCTACCTTGTGCTCTTTTTTTTTTTTTTAAAGATTTATTTATTTATTTATACAAGCACTGGGTATAGTCAGAAGCGCGGGAGGGTGAGAGAATTCACCAGAGCCAGAGCGGGGAGCAGAGCAGGCAGAAGGACTGAAGTACACTGCTGAGGGGAGTAGCGGGCAAGAGAGGCAGGAGAGGTCTGCGCGCCATGTGGGACCCTCCTCCGGTGGCCGGGGAGCAGCCGGGGATTGAACCGGCGCTGCAGAGGCTGCGGGCAGCCACGCAACCCAGCGCTCAACTGCTGTGCCACCGGGGAGGCTCCATAGGTTGTGTCTTAATCCCTTGCGCCACCAGGGAAGCCCAATAAAATGAAATTTAAAAAAGATTAGTTAAGAACTAACCTTTTGAAGGTCCTTAGCAGTGATGTCTGTTTTTCCTATTCTGCATAGCTAGTTCCAGAACCACCTTCCCCTTGATCTTGGACTGCCTTTTTAGATATTTCCTCTATAACAACATTAAAAAAAAGAGAGAGAGACCATTCTTTCAAGATGTTTCAGCTTTCTGTGGAGAGCACAGCACAAATAGACATCCCCCATGCTTTATGAGATTTGCTGCTTTCCTCTGCAACCAGATTATTAAGTGAAGTCATTCCTGAGGATATGAGAGGGTCAGTTAAACACACATACACCCAGCTGTCCACCTAACCCCTGTGTCCAGCCCCTCCTCAGGTCCCGAGAAGGTTCTTTGTGTCTTGTCCTCATGACCCCGCTGGTAAACAAACGCTCTTCTTCCTGATGGTTGTGGAGTGAAGCTGGTGGTTTCTCCTCCAAGTGTGTGTTCAGTTGTGTGTTTGTAGGGTCACATTAGGAAGAGGGGAGAAGAGCAGAGGAAATCAAGGGGAGCCATTTGGTGCTGCTTGTGTGCAGCCTGGCAAGGATGCCCCCACATGAGTAGATCTCCATCCAGTCTCAGCTGAAGAGTTAGCAGGAGTGGCTGGCCCCGGCGGGTGGCCGGCTTGCAGCAGTGGCACTGCCATGCTGCTGTGGCCTCCACAGCCTCCCAGGAAATGCTCATGCTTTTTTATGCTTTTGACTTGTCATTGTGTCACTTGGAAATTTCCGTAGCTTTCAGCTGCCTGGGGGTAAACCTTGGGTCTCTTAATTTGGGGAGACTGGGAGAGCACCGTGCCCCACCTCTGAGGATCTTGTGGGCGGTGGGGCTGCTGAGTTGCTTGCACAGTGTCTCCATGGCCCAGGTGTGTCTTCTGCGTGCAACTCATGCCAGAACGTCCTCCTACTTGTTCACATGCTGGTTTAGGCCTCCCATGGTGTAGGGTAAAGAAAATATCAGGCTTTTCTGCCCTTCCGCCATCAGGATAGATGATGGATCCTTGCCTGAATGCATGCCTGATGGCGGGCACCTGGAATAGGGTGTGGGCATAGGTAGATGGGATTCAGCTGAGCTAAGACTGTGCTTTCAAGGGCGGCGTCACGGGGGGACGCCAGCAGCAGAAGCAGCAGCGCCAGTAGCAGCAGTAGAAGCAGAAGCAGAAGCCGATAGAGAAGCCGAGAAGCAGCAGAACGAACGCTAGAGAGCCCAGATAGATTGAAGACTTGCCTGCCAGCCTGCCAGCCCCCCAGCCAGCACCCCTGCCTGCCATATGCCTGGTGAGCCCCAAATAAAAAACCTGCAAAACTACTGAGGACTCTGACTCCTCCTTTACCCGGTCTGCATGGGATCAGAAAACCTGCACCGTGCCCATTCCTGCCTCTTACACATGGGCAGGGTGTGAGCTCCCTGTGAGCAAGGCCTCTTTCCTTGTGGTTTTGGTGAATCCTGTACCTGAATGGTGCTTGGGCCAAGCAGATACTGGCTGCTGTAATCAGCTGCCTGCTCCTCCACTCTGTCCCCTGCGGAGGAGGTTGGAGGTTCCTTCCATTAGAGGAGGGAACCCGCAGGAGCCCCTCTGAAGTCACTTCCTCCTGTCTGCACAGTGTTAAGCAAGGACTGGATTGGAGCCTTGCACACATGACCCCACCATTGCACCCTTCCCCCCTGCACTGAGCCAGCCACCCCTAGAAAATCTCTGGGTTTCCACTGTCTCAGCCCATTGGATCTTTTCAAACTTGCACCCAATGAGAAGGAAGCTCACCATGTTCTCACCTCCCTGCTGTTCTGGTTCCTTTTCCCATTCTAAACACCCCTGACCACTTCAAATTGATCAAAATCCCACCAACTGGCCAGGCCTTCCCACTGTAGCTGTTGCTGTGGGTTATTTCTCCTTCTACTGTTCTTATTGTCTGTACCCTAATTACTCTGAATCATGGGCGCTAGGCCTGCCTCCTTCCTAATTAGTTGGTTTATAAGCTAGCTGAGATTCAGCTTGCTTACCTGCACATGAGGTGTCTCATCCAGATGAGATGATAAACGCTTTTTTCCTCCCTTTTTTTGGGAAGTTGGGACTTTGTATTGATATCTTTATTGATTAATTGCCTTTTCATGAGTTACTTTATTAATTTCCCAGGTGTAGATGCCAAACTCTGAGAAAGGGATTTTTAACCTTAAAAAAACCCCAAAAAACCCAACCCTCTCCTCTGAAT